GCGATACGGCTAAGACTAGGTTTTGTTCCATCCTTCATGCTGTGCCAACTCACAAAAGAGAGAAACATGCCCTGCCTGCATAAACACAAGCATTGACTAGAGCGGCCGCGATCAGCTCCGGTTCCCGTGGAGACGTAATGCTCCGCAGACTTGTGCAGTGAGGCGCAGATCAGCTCTAACGTCACTGAATCTGCTGTTAAATATGAACCATCCATTCATCATCATGCAAAACATACACGACAAATAGCAAATTTTTCATCGTTTCTCGAAACGTCATAGCATTTACACACCGGCGATGACATGACTGTGGCTTAAAATCATTTACGTCCCCACGCATCATGTACGTGGTCAGGCGTTGACGTCATCAAATTGCGATCGTTTCGTGAGATCGGCCAAATAGTGAGTACCGATCGAGTCATGAAATGTGATTACCGGCCGATACCGATCTCTGGCCGATCGATCGGAGCATCCCTAAAAATTCATATTTTGCTAGCAACTACTTTTTGAAATGCTAGATATATTTTCAACACCTTTTCAACCATTTAGTTGCCGCTTGAAGCCCTGAAAATTGTAACAAATGATGATGAGCCATGAACAGAAATCTGTTTACCTCGGCCCTCTTCAGCATCTCCCACTTGTTGAGAATTTTCATGGCGTAAACACGTTCGGTGTGTTTCATCTTCACCACAGCAACCTAGACAGATGAGATGAGGATTTAGCCAATGCATACAAACAAATTATGATTTAGAGGCTGTGGTGAATTTGAGCATTTTTATTTCCCTCATTTATTCATTGCATGCACTTGTGGCCCACTTAGACCGAAAACCCCACGGGGAAAGAAATTCTCTGAAGGAGATGCTTTTGATCTCTGATGCCTCTGAAAATCTGAAAAAGGAAAAGCTGAGACATAAGACTGCTTACTTTTTGCATTAAAAAAAAGAGATGGCACTCAAGAACCGGTTAATGTAGGTCATAAGACTGTAGCACATCAAAAAATATCAAGGGTGACTAAGGTCTTCCATGCAGGGGGAGTGACTCAATATTAGGACAGGGACAGGTTGGAAAGGAGTGTCTTGTTGGATGTTATTCATGTGGGGTGGGGACAGTAAACACCCTGCCTGAAGGAAGACACACCAGTCAGGGAAGAGACGCATAAATGCAGTGATAATGCAGTGAGAGACTGTGATATTGGTGACTGAAATAAGTGAACAACTAACTTGTTACCAATGATCAAAAACCAAAGCTTTAAAAACAGACAGGAACAGTTCATGTTTAATGAAAGGTTAAGGCTCGTTCAGGAACAGTTCACTCAAAAATGAATGATGAAAAATGACAAAATCACAAACCCACATTGTTTCATTTTGTACTTGGAAGTCAAAAGAGAATATTTTAGTAGGGTTGTGCCGACAGACGATAGCATCGTGTATCGACGATTGTCAGATATCGCGCCTGTGGCTGATGCCTTTGACGATATCAAGACGATTATTATTATTATCATCATCAGACTAGTATTATGATCTAATTAATATTAGGGCTTGTTTGTCCCATCATATTTCTTTTTATGCGTTTTTACAGTATTGTGCGTTATAACCAATCACACACGATTCTGTTGAGCTTATAAATGCAATGGCCAATCAGAGGCGTTCAGATGAGTCATCGCTGAAACACCGGAGTTTTGTTGTTGAGTGTGCATGCTCACTGACTCCTCTCTTGTGAATTCTCTTATCATAAACAACAAAGTGCAGATGTGCTTGCGATGTAAGTATAAGAGATAGCTTCACTTATTATAATGGGAGTGTTTTTTAAAGTGCATAAACTCGTGCTAGACTGAAGTCAGTGATGCTCTTTCAACCCTCTACATTGCGAGTAAATCACTCGCATATGCGGCTAAATCTTCACTCTGGGCGAATAAATGATGTCGAATATTAGCCAATGGCTAATAAATTCTCAGATTTTACTCGTCAGTGTGTGAGTTGGAGGCTAAGTATAAGTTTAGCACAGATATATTTTCACTCGCCGAACACACTGACTGAGCGCTTCAGAGTTTCACTCTCCGTCAAGCGATCTGTGATATTTTTCAGTTCATCTGAATGGATGCGCAGCGCACCCGTGTAGAGGTCTGCGCGGAACAATTTTTTTGGTCCCGCCCGCTCCCGCAAGGTTATATTCTGCAACCACCCGCTCCCGCTATACATTCACTCTTTGTTCACCCGCTGTCTGCTTAGAATAATTTTCTTCCTGACCCAACCGTTCCCACTAAATTTAGATCTCGTTTCCTGAATCTCACATTTAAATTTCCGCTACTGAAAGAAAGAGAGATAGGCTAACAAATAAAAGTGTAGTCTGCACAAAATTGTATGTTATTTTATTCGTCTTGTCAAGAGTCTTGCATTTATTGACTTTGACTTGAATTTATATGAATTTATCCACCCATCATTGTATTTATTCATGGCGCTATGCTAATGAACTGGCAGCCAGCGTTTGGTGGATTAATCAAAGCCTCTTCTCCCTCATGAATGAAGTTCAGCATGAAATTGTGGGTAAAAAAAAACATAGGCTTTGCCTTTGCAGATTAACTCTAGGGATCAAAGATCTCACAATTTTTCTATGGAGTGTTATTCTGAACATTTTCAAGTTAGTATACTGCAGCATCTTTGTATTATATCACAGCATTGTGTGTGTCAGATTGATAGAGTAAACTCCCAGTGGTCTATTTCCCTTGGGGTCAGGGTTCACAGTTGGATTGACATGTTGAGTCTTGTGTGACACGCAGGTTTGTCCCCCTTCCTGTCTGTCAGGCTCTGTCGTCACAAATAGGCATGTCTTATGACAGGGAGTGTGTGGAGCATCTATAAATAAGTCAATCAGATGGAGGGGGATAGAGAGGGGTAAAAACAGAGAGACGAGAAATGGGGTAGAGAAACATAAATGAGAGAATTTTGAAAGAAAAAAAAGAACACTGGGTAAGTAAGTCAAAGGAGAATAAGTGAGAGAAAGGCCATGACTCCATTTACAACCCTCTACATTGCGAGTAAATCACTCGCATATGCGACTAAATCTTCACTCTGGGCGACTAAATGATGTCTAATATTAGCCAATGGCTAATAAATTCTCAGATTTTACTCGTCAGTGTGTGAGTTGGAGGCTAAGTATAAGTTTAGCACAGATATATTTTCACTCGCCGAACACACTGACTGAGCGCTTCAGAGTTTCACTCTCCGTCAAGCGATCTGTGATATTTTTCAGTTCATCTGAATGGATGCGCAGCGCACCCGTGTAGAGGTCTGCGCGGAACAATTTTTTTGGTCCCGCCCGCTCCCGCAAGGTTATATTCTGCAACCACCCGCTCCCGCTATACATTCACTCTTTGTTCACCCGCTGTCTGCTTAGAATAATTTTCTTCCTGACCCAACCGTTCCCACTAAATTTAGATCTCGTTTCCTGAATCTCACATTTAAATTTCCGCTACTGAAAGAAAGAGAGATAGGCTAACAAATAAAAGTGTAGTCTGCACAAAATTGTATGTTATTTTATTCGTCTTGTCAAGAGTCTTG